TCAGGCGGGGGGTGGGGGCAGGGGGCCCTGAAGAAGAAGGCAGGCCAGCTCTCAGGCTCTGCTGTCCCCCTGCCTTCCACCCCAGCAAGGAGCTCTGGGCCCTTCCAAAATGTTCCCAAAACTTGTCACCCCGAAGCTCACAGGACCCGAGCTAACCATGGCACATCTGTGGAAGGGTGGAGGAAGTCAGCCCCCGCCCCACCGTCTGCCCTGCAGCCCCTCTCTGCTCCTGGACCGCAGCTCCTTGAGTCTGTGAGCCGCCTCCAGCCCGTCTACCCCGCCTGTCCCGGCACCCCAAACTCCATGTCCCAGTCTCAGTCCCTCTGTTCTCGTCATCTGTGCACCAGCCTCACAGACGACCATTTTGTTGGTTTCCTAAATCTTGTCCCATATTCCCTTGTATAACTACCCACATATATGTGTTTTCTTTCCCTTTCTCACGCAAGGGCTTTTGCTAATCGCCCCGTCTACACTGCTGTCTTCATCGCTCGCTCTGTCCACTTATAAGCAGCCTTTTTCTTGCAAAGGTTAACGGGGGTCCTCAGTCAGGCCAGCTGGTGGCTCTGCACACCCCAGGAGGTTCTGGGCCTCAGGCTCCTTCTCCCCAGGGAAACAGCTGGACCAGGATTCCAGAAAACAGGCTGGGGGGGGGGAGGAGGGGGCAGACAACTGACAAAATTACGAGAAGCAGGTGGCTCTTGCCTGCCACATGTTCAGCGCCCTAACCACAGCAACCCTGAGACCCTCCACTTCTGCAACTGTGCCAATGGCTCCCACTGCCCCCCTCCTTGGTCCACTGTGCTCCTGGCCCAGCCACAGCCTCCTCCCCTATGGGTCCCTGCACCTCACTGCAGCCTCAATCACCCCTTGGGTTTGCTTGGGATCAACCCACAGGATAGCTTTCAGACCCGCAAGCATGCTCAGAGCTTGGGACAGGTCCAGGTTCAGCATCCAGATTTCCTCACCCAATCCAGGACCCTTGACCCCTGCTCCCCTTTCCAGAAAAACTCCCCGGAAGATGCGTCTACTCTGCCTCCACCACCTGCTTCTCCCCAGACCGACCCCCAGCACCAGGCGGCCCATCAGGACCACCAGTGCCCTCCCCACCGTCCTAAGCCTGCTGTGGTCCTCCTGCCCAGATCAGAGTAGCCGGCACCGCACTTCCTGCCCCCATGGATGCTGTCCCCGATTCACCTGGCCGGTCTCTCCTCCCCTCCTGGCTGATCCCATGGGTCCTGTGGCTATTTAAACACATTTGGGGTCCCGCAGGCACTTCAAATGTTACAGTCCAGGGTCAGATTCCCAGCTCCCAGCACCCACACAGGCTCACCTGTCTCCTGGGGGCTCCTCATGGCCCAGAAGCACCCTGGGCCCCGCCCTTCTCCTGACCCCACCACTTGATCTATCATGTGGGATCCCAGCACTCCCCACTCCCTTCTTCCTGCTCCAAGTCAGAGTCATCATTCCCCTCACCTGGACTGTGTTCCTTTGTCCCTAAGGACCCCCAAACTGGTCTCCCAGTCCCTGCCCTGCCTGGTCTCCCCCGGCCCCCCTCGCTGTCAGCAACCTCCAGGCCTCCTTGCTGCCCCTGGTCCTATTTCCCTTTCTTCTGTATCTAGCTTTATTTTTCTGTGTGATTCCCGTCTCCACCTGACATATTTTCCATTGGCTCATTGGGGCTCCAGCTTTTGGCAGACAAAAGCCCCCACACCAACCCCTGGTCTATGCTGGGGGACGTTCATCAGCAGGCCCCCTGCCCCTCCCCCCTGCCCCCGAAGCATTGCCGGCCGAGCCCACAGACCAGCAAACAGAGGTCTAGTTGAGCATCGGGCATGTGTCTGCATTCTACATGGTGAATTACACTGAACGAAATCATATCACCCTTGGAGCCAAGCGCAGCCAGCCAGGCAGTTTATCGTACCTTGCCTCTGGCGCAGTGTGTTCTGTTCCCTGTTTGTCCCTGAACCTGAGACACCAGCCCAAGCTGGGTCCTAGCTCGAGGTGCCTCTCGGAGTCCCTGTCCCTCGACAGCTCCCAGGGTAGGCCAGTGCAGAGGCCCCTGTCTTGGCCAAATGTGTGCATTTACAGGACACAAAGAAAAGAGATGACAGGTTCAGAGAGTGATGGGTGTTAATGGGAAAATAAACAGGGGTGGTGGCACTTTGGAATGATCTGGTTAGTTAGAGAAGGCCCCTTGAAGGGGAGCGAGTGGACAAACCGGACAATGGAAGGGAGACACCCAGTGGAGGACAAACCCAGATAGTATTGCTCCCGGGGGGGGGGGTGGACATGCCCATGAAGCCCCACACCTGGGTGTCAGTGGGGTCAGTCCACCCCAAGTCTGCCTGAGGACACTGGACCACTGCTCTGCTGTCCAAGGGCCGCAGATGATGGGAGAGACAGGTTCACAGAGGCTATAGAGCTCCAGGGGAGATGCTTGCTGGGTGGGAGTGAGCCACAGACCTAGACCCAGCTCCTTTCTACCTCCCCCTGGGACTCTCCCTGAGATGTCATCTTGGTGGAGGGGAGCTTTCTTCTCAGCTGTGAGGTCTCAGCACAAACATTGCCTCCTGAGCCTCTCTGGGTAACACCATCCAAAGCTGCCTCTTCCCCCGAACACACACATGCTGATACTCAGACACACACACGCGCACATGCAAGTATACACGCACACGCACGCCGACGCACGCACGCAGACACACACATATGCGCGCACGCGCACACACACACTCACTGACGTATCACCCAGCTGTAGCTTGAGTCTCCTTTCTTTCTCTTCTTGTTCTTCACCCATTTCCCCAACTAGATTGTGAGCAGAGGAGGGGGCTCGTCAGTGCTGTCTTTTGCACCCCAGGCCAGGTACGGCGCAGAGATGGAGCTCCATGAATGAATTAATGGTGGGATGTGGGAGTGAATGAGCACCAATTTCAAGAAGCTCTCTCTCCGTGGCCTGTCTCAACTCAAATCTACTGTCCCCTCTGGTCTCTGCTGCACTAAACCCTCCCCCTGGCCCCCACACAGCCTCTGGCCCTTTCACTTATTTCCAATAGCCTAAGAGGCATCTATTTCACTGGCCAGCTGGGCCGGGACCACCCTCCTTTGTGTGACAAGCATCTAGTGGGCACCTACTGAATGCCAGGCACTGGGCAGGGCACCAGGATTCCTGATGAGTGCTCAGAAATAATGTCCCCAATGCATTTACTTCACAGAGCAGAAAATGGAGTCCAGAGAGGGTGGTGAGATGCCCAGGCAACACAGCAAGTGAGGGAATGGAGGTGTAGGAGCTCCAGAACCTAGTCCCTGCTGGAGGCCGCCTCCCTCTCAGTCCTGCTGGAGAGGGTGTGGGTTGGGAGGATTGTCCATCCCCCTGCTTTGGAAACTTGCAGCCACTTTAAGAGGGCCTGGGTCAGAGGGCCCCCCACTTGGTGGTGGATGTGCTTGTGGCCCGCCTGCCCCTCTCGCACATTAACTTCCCTAATAGGGGTTTTCTAGAACTGACATTCACATTAGTTAATATTTCCTATTGGTGGCCAGTGGCCCAGAAGCCACATGATCACAGAGGAGGCCACCGTGGAAAAGTACAGGTCTTGGGGTGGACTGTCGGCTTTGCGTACCAGGTGAGGCAAAGGAGAAACACTGGCGCCGGCGGGCGCACACAGACATACAGAGCTGCCCACAGCGAGGGAGGGCCGGTGGCCCCGAGTACCGGCTACCTCTCAGTACCAAGCGAACGGTAGCTCGGGGCGCCGGCGCCGCCGGGGTTAAGGCGTAGGCGTATCCCTTTGGGGCAGGGTGGAGACTCGCCGGGTGGAGGGAGCCTGGCCGCTGCTCTGGCTTTCACTCCGAATTTGGGCCAAATACCGTGCTCCTCTAGTCCGACCCGGGGTCCTCTCCCGCGGCGGCGGCCCCAGCGCCCCTTCCTCTTCCTCCCGGCCCAGCACGGGGCGCATGGTGGCCGCCCGGCGGGGAGCGTATCCGGGGGCGCAGACGCCCCACTGCTCCAGGGAGGGACTTGGCCTCGCTTCGGGGCCGAGGCCCATCTGGGGACGAGCCGGGAGGCCGCAGGCCGGGCCCGGGCGGGGGTTTTGGAGAAGGGCCCGGCAGGGCTCCCATCTCGCGAGTGTCGGTAGCGACACTGGCTCCCCGCCTACCCCTCTCTGGTCTCCTTCTCCGTCTTCTCCCTGCGAACCGCGGGCAAAGACGCTCTTTCCTCGCCGGCTCTGGTCCGCAGAGGCCCTGCGGGCGCGGCCAAAGGGAGGAGAAAGGAGCGACCAAGCTGGGCCGGGCTCGGCCGTGACTCTCGCCCTGGCCGTGGCTCCGCCAATCCGCGCGCTCTGACGCGGGGGGCGGCTCCGCTGGTCGGAATAACTGCCCGCCCTGCTCACAGGGGGCTCACGGAGGGGCTTGGGCGTGCGGGAGCTGCTGCTCCAGGACGTGGTCGCTGCACCTGCCCGCCCCGCCGCGCCGACCTCCGTCCTCCGTCCCCAGTCTTCTGTCCCCGCAGCCCTGAGCCCGCGTCCTTCCTCCCGGTCCCCGCCTTTCGGCCTAGCGTGACAGCGCCGAGCCCTGCCCCAGAGCCTCCCCGAGGAGCCGCCTGGCTCCGCCCGCCCGCAGCCCACTGCGGGGACAGCACGGGGATCCGATCGCGCCTATCATCCCCTGTGGGGGATGGGTAGCCGCGTCGGGCCCCGGCGCGCCTGATGAGCG